TTCCTCTTGCTCTTTGAACTCTGGTGGCTTAGTGGTTTGGAGTTGTGCTGCCAACCCAAGAGGAAGTGTTTTGAATTCATGAGCTGCTTCATGGCCCAAAGACGGGTAATCTCTCCTGTGAGACTAACTGCCTCTAAAAACTCACAGGAGGGTCAGCAGTGAGCCAGGTCTGCAGTTCTCTCCCTTGCCCTTTAGTGAGGTGCTTCATGCGTGTCGATGAAGGTTCCCTCATCTTCACTGATGACTAATGGGTGAAGGTTAGGAGACAGGACTGCCCTAGAATGAAGACAAAGCCCAGTAAGCTGAGAGTCTTACCAGAAGCAGCCAAAGCTGGGGAGGTGAGGGGAATTCTCTCTCTCTCTTCTTTGGGCAATCCTAAAGACAGAGAAATCAAAGCCAGTGGAAGCACTAGGGGTCAAAGATGACAGGGAGAAGCTCAAAACCCCACCCAAGATTCTGAGCAGTTCCTCATAGAGGAGACCTCAGCTGGTGACCAACCTGAGAGTTACTTTAAGTCCACGAAAAAAAAAAAAAAGGTATTTTTAACATCCTGCCTAAAGTACTGGATATCTATGTTTAAAGAACTGGGTTCTTGGGTCTGGCTGACCCAGCTAGATCTACTAGGCCACTGGCCCATCAACCACTCTGCATTCCTGACAAGGGGACTGGGAGCCTCTGCTTTTAAAAATCCACACCGGGCTTTCTGTCTCACCCGGGTGACTTTTTTTTTTTTTTTTTAAATGTGCCAGGAATTCCTCTCCCACGTGGGGTGGACTCCGAGGTACTCAATTAAGCAGCCAATGAAAAGTCAGCTCTCCGGTAGCAAATGACCCTGACACTTCTTGTAACATAAACAGTTGAAACGTTTCCAATTAGAACTGGAGACAGAGACGTTTGAACTCTTTCTCTCCACTCCCCACCTCCTCCCCCCTTCTTTAAAAATAATTGTCAAGCGCTCTGGTGTTGTATGTGTTTGTTGTTTGTTTTCATTTTCTTTTTTTCTCCTTCTTGGGCATGAAAGAGATTTTTCTCCTTGATTTTCCTAATTTGTGAAGTGCTATGGCGTGGAGGGAATAGAGTGGTGCGCTGGCCTGGTTAAAGGGCTCTTGGCCTGGTTACTTAGCTCCGGTCCCCCCACTCTCAGGGTGCGGAGAGAGTGGGAGCCTTAACTAAGCAAACCGCGCGCGTGACCGAGTAGTTTACACCCTGGAAAGGGTTCATAAATGGACGTATGAATGGAATGAATGAATGCTTTCAGCAGTCGCTCCCAGGGAACCAGCTATCTGAAGCAAAGAGGGCTCAGAGGTTGATTGTCGAGCCAGCTACCTTGGGTTCGAATCCTAACTCACAAGCTCAGTTTGAAAGCAAAGATGTGCTTGCTCAGCCTTTCTTTTTCAGTCAATAAAACGGGGCCACCAGCTAGGCCTCTTCCGTTGTTGAGTGATGGAAGAAAGAGAAGAGTTCCCAAGAGCAGCAGTTTTTTTAAACCAAGCACTTTTTGTTAAGGACCATCTAGCGCTGTTCATTCTCATCCCACGATGTATAGCGCTGGATCCCGAGGACCAACACACGCAGCCTCAGTCCTCAGACTCCTTCCTCCCTAGTGCCTGGCGCGGTGCTGGGGTTCACCGGTGAACTTGACGTGGATCTTCTAAGGTAGAAACGCCTGAGCTTGTAGGGGACTGAGAAGCATCCCCAAGAGCGCAGACTTCGGGTCAGGGCAAACAGGAGAAGCGCAGACAGGCCACAGAATTGCTGTGTTTTTCAGCCCCCAGTTCGCCTAGACCGAGCCCTGGGGCTTCAGGCCACCTGCAGGCAGGCGCCGTTGGAGCTCCTAGTACCGAGGGAACCCGAGAAAGGGGGCCCAATGAGACACCCCGTCCCGGGCATCTTGAAGGCATTGTGTTTAATAAATCCAGGCGAAACGCACACCCGCGCTTTACCCCCTCGACTCTCGGGTCCCAAATCGAGACCTGCTGTGGGACACTTAGTTTACGGGGGTCTTAAAACCCCTTCCACTTTGATTAGTAGCTTCAAAGAACTCCCTTTAAAGTTCACCCCCTCAACCTTCCTTTGGCAGACAACCCCTCCCCCATCACTTCTTCTAGACTCTTGGACAAAACACTAAATGCAAGTTTAAAGAGGAGGGGTAGGATTGGGGAGGGAAATCTTCAGGCTTCTTCCTGAACGTGGGCCGTAGAAATTACCTGTTTTAGGCGTACACAAGAGTCGGAGAGCCGTGGAGTTTGGGGTTTTTTTTTTTTTCTCTCTTCTTTTTTCTGTCTTTTATGTGTGTGTGATGTGTGTGTGTGTGTGTTTTTACCTTTTATTATTTAAATTGATACGTTTCATTACTAGGGAGAAAAATAAAATATTCCTTTGATACACAAAATCAAATTGATATTTAGCCTCTGCTTACTTTTTTATGCATGGCTCCTTTATACCACATGGTAGTGACAGATTGTTTGAGCTGGAAGGAAAAGCCATTCAAAGCTAATTAAGCAGCCATTCCAAGCACTATTTGCAAGCGGGAGGCTCAGAAGCCTCGGCATTTGTCAGCGCTCCCCCACCCCGCGTGGTTTTGACTGACAGCTCGGGTGGAGGACTGACAGCCCGCCGCGGATTCACCAATCAGTGGCGGCAAGCTCCCAAAGCGGTGTTTGATTGGCCTTTCGGGCTTGCTCCGGGGCGGGGCCGGCGGTTCCCACGTGGGGCCAGGAGCGAGAAAGGGGCGGGGCGGGTAGGAAGCGGGTGCGCCCACCCGTGACGTAAGGGGGAGGGCAGAGAAGGGGGAGGGGAAAAGGAAGCTCCAAAGAGGAGCCATTTTGTGTCTAATGAATGCTGCGGCCAGATGCTCGCGTCTGTCGAGCGGGGCTTCTCTCCCACCTCCCCCTCTTCCTTCGGTGCGCGCCGCACACGATTTATGTTTTTATTTAGGAGAATAAATAAATGAATAGAGGAGTGCGGTTGGAGGCTAGAGGCCTGAGCGGGAGCGAGGAAGTTCAGCTGAGGCGGGCGCTCACGTGTAACTCCCTGCGCACCGGCCTCCGAGTGTGCAGCTCCTCATTAAGATGCAAGAGCGAACCTCTGGCTCCTTGTTGTTCTTGTTAGGTGCCCTGGAGTGGATTCCCACTCATAGAGACCTTCTGTGCAACAGAACCGGTCTTGCACCATCCTCAAAGCCGTTGCTATACTTGAGCCCATTGTTAGAACCACTGTTAAAATCCTCCTCTTTGAGGGTCTTCCTCTTTTCCTGCTGACCCTCTCTACTAGGTACAGTGTCTTCTAGGAACTGACGCCTCCTGATAACATGTACACAGTACCCTAAGACCCTCTTGGCTTCTAAGGACCATTCCAGGTCATACTTCCAAGACAAGATTTTTTTCTTTTTGGTGGTTGTGGTATATATTCAATATCCGTTAACACCAAAATTCCAATATATTAATTCTTAAGTTTTCACTATCCAGTTTTTACACGCATATGAGGTTTAAAATGTCCCGGTTTGAGGCGGAGGCGCCTTAGTCCTTGGTGTGACATTTTGTTTTTTAACACTTCAGAGAGGGCCTTCACATCAATGGGAGTGGGCCAGTCTTTGTGCACACACCTCCCAGGATTGGTCGCCTCCTGCCAGGGTAGGCCGCCAGTCTTGGGGGCTCAGGTTGATGCCCAGTGATGCTGGCTGGGGAGGCCTTGAAGAGCTCACCTGGCTTTGGAGGTCCCTACAGGGGAAGGGACAGGAACTCTCTGAAGAGCTTGTCTCATGCCTTGGGGCTCCTCCAAAGGTAGCTTCTCCTTCACTAGTCAGACCTGATAAAGCCATTAGCCCTTAAGGGTTTTAGGTTTTCAGGCACACAGATTCCCTGAGGTGAGTGGTCTGTGGACTGACTCCCACAGGGTGGGTGGTGAAAGGGCATCTGTGCCTCCCGGGGAACATACTCTGGTGACAGAGACTTCATGGATAATACTCCTCCACAGGCTTCCTCTAGCTTTGTGACCCAGACTGGAGCAAAGTGGATCCGAACCTAGAGCTCCTAGAGCAGGGCCTGATGGACCTGAACCTGGTCCCCTACTTGGCTACCTTCCTCCGAGCTTGCGTAGTGAGGGACTCACCAGGCACGGCTGCAGCGAAGGTGTAGCTGCCTCCACACGACAAGAAAGCCCCGAGTAGGTACAGCGCAAGCTGAAGCAGGTTGTCGGAGGGCAGCCGGGCCCTTCCATCGGAGCTGCCCGCCAAGCAAGAGTTCCTCAGACTTCTGGCAGGCAGCCGCCGCACATCAAAGACGCTGTTTATTTGGCTTTTTGAAAAGGCGAAGGAACAGAGAAAGCAAGCAAGCTGGGGGGGGGGGGGAGGAGGACAGGGGACAGAGCAGGAGAAGTGAGGCTCACCCCCAATTCCGAGCAAATTTTTAAGGGGGAGGGGAAGCAACTTTGGGAGCCACCATTTTATCAGTCCTAAATCTTGTGAAGTGAAAACATTAAAGTGACAAAGTGATTCGGCTTGTTTTATAGTATCTAATTGGGCTGGTTTGCAGACCTAATGAGATTAGAGGGAGGAATCGTTCGCCACCACTGCAGAATAAACTGGTACAACATTACCAACAGCCACAGGTTTTCAGGATTGTACAGCTTGTCTGTTTTTCTTTTGTTGTTATTTCTCTGTCTTCTCTTTTTCTCCCGCCCGCCAAATAATTATTTGCTAGTAGATCGTGGGGGGGGAGAGGAAAAAGTAGCAGCCCAGGCCTATAATATATATCTATTTATTATATGTCTTTCGGTTAATTCCTGATCTGAGGAGCGCTGTTTTTCACTCCCATGCGAAAGTCACCAGCGGATAGGGCCTGATTGCTACTTTTCATGCATAGTTTTAGACACAAGAGGGCATTGTGACGTCGCGCCCAGCGCCGCCCAGTCGTTGGCCGAGTCCGGCACCCCCACGTGGGTGCTCTGCGCTCTCATTGGCCAGCGCTGGGCAAAGCTGCCACATTATTTTGCTACTTTTCAGTCCCTATTTGGAACTGCTCTCGCGGCAGTTCAGACCTCGTGCTCGTCCCCCTGCCTGTCTGTGTGTGGTATCCGCAAGGTTCGGGCACTTTTTTTGGGGGGGTGTATGTTGTATGTGTGTCTGGTGTGCGTGTCAGGGTGTGTGTTTGCTGGCTTGTCGGCGCGCAGAGAGAAAAGCCGGGCCGAGGGGAAAGAAGGAAGCCGCAGAGCTCCTCGGTCTCGGGCTGCGTCTCCCCACCAGCGCTCTCCTGTCTGCGCGCACCCTGGAGGCGGCTGAGCCGGGCACCAGCGCTCGGACTGAGAGCAGCGAGGACCCCTTTGCGCGGAGGCTTCCCTTGTATGCTGGAGTTAGGATGCCAGAAAGGTTGACTTGCACCTACTGAACCTGGAGTAGTTTCCCCGGCTCTCGGAAGACCTAGGAGCGGCGGCGGCGGCAGTAGCAGACGGAACAGCAGGCGCTCTTATCCGAGGGGGGGCGTCGAAGCGCCAGGCTCCCGCCCTCGCCCTCCGCTGTTCTCGCGGCCCCAAGCCGCCACCCGGTGCCTACCTCCTTCTCATCCTCCACGCCGCGAGCCCGGGGTTCGCTCTGGGATCGGACTCGTGCGCCCCGGATGCTGGGGCTGTCCCGACGCGCCCCCCTGCCGGCGCGACAGGCTGAGTGATCTAGAGGGGGCCCTTTGCTCGCCCCAGGAGAGGCGGCAGGCCTTGGGACCCGCGCTGGACTCTTGGAGGAGACGAACATGTCCTCACAGTCTCCTGCTCTGATCCGCCAGACGCAGCCCCGGGAAGGCTACCGTCCCCAGCCCGCCGATCCCTAGGCGCACAAAGCCCATTGCCGCCCGCCTGCCGGCTTCGGCGTCCGCCGACGACTTCGCTGCCTGCTCTGTGGCTCTTTGTCTCCGCTTGGAGCGGGCGCTCGACTCTGGGATTTCGCTGCGAGAGCGGGCTGGGGGGGCCGGGGGCGAGCTCCCGCTTTCCCGGCCGCCCCCTGCTCAGGCTCGGTTCCCCCCTCCCCCGCATCTCCCCATCCCGGGCTCTCGGCGCTTCCACGCTCTCGGAATCACGACCCCTCCCTGCCATGTATCCGCAAGGCAGACATCCGGTGAGTAATTGCAACTCAGTTTATTTAAGCATCTATCATGGCAGGGTAAACGAGGCAGTTTATCTGGCACCTCCATTTTGCTTGTTGCTACCTTGATGGGGGGTGGGAGTGTGTGTATATATGTGTGTGTGCGCGCGCACGCTCACACAAAGGGGTTGGGGGCGCAATTGAGAGAAGAGGTTAATTCCGCCCGAGTGGCGTTGGGGGGGGGGGCTGCCGGTGATGGAGGCGTTTCACGCAGCGACACCCCTCCAAGTCTCCCAACTCACCCGGCATGACTCCCTCGCCCCCACCTGACTTGGGCCTGTGAGCCCTTAAGTGAAAAGGGACCGGAACCCCGCGGCTGAGAAGCAGGGACTAGGCACCCTCTCACTCGCTTCTGGAGCATGAGAAACTTGCTAGGAAGGTTCTGGGCTAGTGAAGCGCCAGTGTGGGGGATGGGAGGACACAGGGACGCTGTGAAGGGGCCTGAGCATTGGGAGCCCCTTCTAATGTCCCTGCACCCTTTTCTCTCTTGTCCTCTCGGGCTCCAGGCTCCCCATCAACCCGGGCAGCCGGGATTTAAATTCACCGTGGCTGAGTCTTGTGACAGGATCAAAGACGAATTCCAGTTTCTGCAAGCTCAATATCACAGGTAAGGCGACTGGGGACCGCCTTAGGATTGGAGGGGCAAGGGCATCCCCTTCGATGCTCCTGCCATCCCTACACTGGGACCGAAGGGGCTCCCGACTCCGGGTGGCTGGGCTGTCCAGGCCTCTCCGCCTTTTGTTTCCCCTTTTCTGAGCGCAGCGCCTTAACCCTTTGCAGACCACAGTCTCCCCACTTATAGAGCAGCCCGCGGGGATCCCCAGGACCGAGGGTTGGTGTAACAGACCCACTCATTCATTCTAGGGGTTGCCAGTCAGCTACGGACCCCTCTCCTTTTCCCACTGATGAGTTTGCCCACTTGGCCGCAGGAAGTTTGAAGTTGTTTTACTCTCCCTTCTACCGGAGAGAATCACTCTCTGCCTAGAGGCTGCACAATAATGGGGTACCCTGGGGGAGTCGTTGAAGTGGAAAAGTGGCTCTCAGAGGCCCTTGGGTTGGGGACCTGGGAGGAGGCTGTTCAGGCAACCTGCCTGAGCCTGCTCCTTCTGCCCTCGCAGCCTTAAAGTGGAGTACGACAAGCTGGCAAACGAGAAGACAGAGATGCAGCGCCATTATGTGATGGTGAGAGGAGGCAGGGGCCCGAGAGAGTGGGGTTGAGGATGGGGAGGAATCCATTCGGCCATGGGCAGGGAAGTCTTGGGGAGATGGGAGCAGAGACCCCTTTCCTGCTAGTTCCTGGAGCACAGGTTAACCCGTGCGACCTCTTGCCCCTGGGTCAGTTTCCCTCGACCCTTTGGAGGATATTGGGTGGGAGCTGGAACCGGCAGAGAGCCAAAAGTGAAACCAGCATTCCAGGCCAGGGACGTCTGTGCTCTACCTTTGTGCTGCTTTAACTTGTGTGCTGAAGGCTTCCCAGAGGATTAGTTGCTATATCTTGGCTAGTAAGCTAGGTTGGGTCTGCTCATCTCAGGGTTGGATAAAAATCTCTGTTGGAGACCTCCTGGCGGTATTTGGAAACTTTTCTGCTTTGCAGCCCTGGGATAGAGCCAGAGTCCAACAGAAGCTTTCTCGGCCCACCCCTTTTTAT